AAATAACACACCACTAATTATTCTTTTTGTTGGCAAACAATAGAAATATGGTTAGTTTTTCCTATCAACAGATTAGTAGAAGGGCTTGGTGGCTGCGGTGGTTTAGAAGAAAATGGCCCCCAAAGGGAGTGGCACTGTTAGGAAGTGTAGCTTTGTTGGAGTAGGTGTAGTCTTGTTGGAGGAAGTGTGGGGCAGGTTTTGGGGTCTCTTTTTTCAAGATTCACTCAGCTGGACAGTCAGGCAACTTCCTGTTGCCTGCAAGATGTAGACCTCTCAGCTCCTCTAGCACCATGTCTGCCTGCATGTCACCATGTTCCCCACCATGATGATAATGGGATAAACCTCTGAAATTGTAAGCTAGTCATCCCAATCAAATGCTTTCCTTAGAAGTGTTGTCTTGGTTATGGTGTTTCTTCACAGTAATAAAATTCCTAACTAAGACAGGGTTTCATGTCTGTAATTCTTATACAACAGTAACTAGAGTAGAAAGAATGTCACAAGTTCAAGGCCATTCTGTACTACATAGTGAGTTCCAGTACATCACGTCGTCTCAAAAACACAAGTAAATAATAAAGATGAGCGGATTATGAAATACAAAACATAACTACAAAGAAGTAAGAGCTTAATGAAAATCTTACAGTATTTCAGATACATGGCAATGTGTATACATAAAAATAAATAGAAACTATCAAGAAAGCACAAGCTGTTCATTTTTTAATTGGACACCATTTATCTGAATAAACTAAAAAATAGAGAGTCTTCAGAGTGTGAGATAGCACAGCATGTAAAAGCATTTACCACCGAACCTGAGTTTAATCCCCAGAACCCATGTGGTGGAAAGAGAAAACCCACTGCTGAAAACTGACCTCTGACGTCCACATGTATACCATGTTGTACCACACCACAATCAAGCAAGCAAGCAAGCCAAGTATAGTCTCCTGTCTAGGTGGTGAAGTCTAGAGCAGAGTACACTAATTGGTTATTCAATACTAAATGGTTAGCCCTGAAAACCAACATACAATAAACATTATACAGACTTAACAGGTTGTATTTATGTATGCATGCATGCACACACATGTATGTATGTAAAAACAATTAATGAAAAAAGGGACCAGAAATTTGAAAGAAAAGGAGGAGGGGTATATGGGAGGGCTTGAAGGGAGGAATGAGAAAGTGGAATATGATGTAATTATAATCTCAAAAAGAAACAGTTTTTAAAAAACCAAATATAGTCTTTGGATTGAAATAGTCCATCATACTATGTTCAGAAAAGACAAGGCATACTTGACCTCTGAACCTCATCAATATACAGATCTAAAGTGACTTTTTTCATATTTGCTTGGATATACAATAAATTATTTAATTATATGGAACATTATCATAATGTTTATTTTTAATAATTATATATATATACCTAACAATAGCTGATCTATGCTTAAGAAACAGGCCTACTGTATAAAAAATAGTATAGAAGCAATGCACAATTTTTTTTATTAATTAATTTATTTGTTTATAAAAATTTCCACTTCCTCCCCATACCCTCCCATTCTCCCCACTCCCTCTCCTCCTCCCCCCCACTCCCTCCCTTCCTTCCTCTCCAGTCCTAAGAGCAGTCAGGGTTTCCTGCCCTGTGGGAAGTTCAAGTTCCTCCCCTATCCCTCCAGGTCTAGGAAGGTGAGCATCCAAACAGACTAGGATCCCAGAAAGCCAGTCCATGCAGACAAAACAAGACCCGTGCCATTGACAATGGCTTCTCAGTCAGCCCCCATGTCAGTCACATTTAGAGACTCCGGTCTGATCACATGCTCGTTCAGTCCCAGTCCAGCTGGCCTTGGTGAGCTCTCATTTGATCAGTCCCCTTGTATCCGAGGGTGAACGCATCCCACACGGTTCTGATTTCCTTTTTCATGGTCTCCCTCCTTCTGCTCCTCATTTGGACCTTGGGGGCTCAGTCCAGTGCTCCAATGTGGGTCTCCGTCTCTATCTCCATCTATCGTCAGATGAAGGTTCCCTCTAGTCCTGCCTTTCTTGCTCACGTTCTCCCTCCTTCTGCTTCTCATTTGGACTTAGGGAGTTAAGTCCAGTGTTCCAATGTGTGTCTCTATCTCTATTTTAAGCATCTCACTAAAATGTTAGGTTTACAAAGATATTAGCACAATTATTTTTCACATACTGAACTCAATACGGAGGATCACATTTATTTTACCTGTAACACGAACTCTATAGTAATCTGTTCACTTGATTCTAAAGCATAAATCCTATGAGGCGCATCAGATTCTCTATTTTTATATAATGGAGCCTAGATTTGAAGGTCTGATTTTAGCTGGGAAAAGGATATACTCTAACAAGTCAAGCGACTAAACAGCTGCCGATGCTAAAAAGAGTTTCATATTATTCTGAGTTAGGCACTAATTTATGCTTTAAATTTTCCATCCTGTGATAATCTTTTTAGATGCATGAAAGGGAAAAGCAACAATACTTTGAATGCTGATCTGAGTTTCTCATTTAGTGAAGAGCAGGAAAAGATGAATTTTAGATCCTAGTCCAGGCTGACTGGTTTGAACCTGGAATCCCTCATCTTCCTACCTCTATCTCCCAAGTGCTGGGACGGACCTCACAGGTATGTGCCACCATGCCTGATTTATGCTATACTGTGAAATGAACCTAGGTGTTCCTGTACGCCAGGTAAGATTCTATTAAATGAGCTACACCTCCAACTGAAGTATTTTGCTTTTATCTTTCCATTTACTTGTTTGTTAGAATAGTGTCTTTATATATACTTGGTTTTGATACTACACAGTACCAGCAAGATGGGCCTAAAGGAAAGTGGATGGGAGTGGGCATCCTCTGTTCTTGAGAAACCCATTTTCAATGTGAACTCTAATTCCTAGTAACTATATGTACAGCATTTTTATTTACAAGGGGCAATATATCATAGTTTTCTTGCCCTTGTGGTCTATATGAATTAGTTTAAAAACTATCTATTTTTAGTTTTCTGCAAATGAGATTGCGTCTTGCTAGGTGTGATGGTGCATACTTTGTAACTTCAGTGAAGGTAGAGGCAGAAGGATAAGGAGTTCCAAGTCATTCTCACTTCAATAGGAAGTGTGACGACAGTTTACACTACATGAGACTCAATCTCAAACCACCACTCCCCACCGTGAAAAAAAAAATCAAAAGACAAAGGAAAGAGTAAAGGTCAATGAATAATAAAGACTAGCAGAAAATATCTAAACCACACCCACACTCCCCCACACATTTAATATATTAGAAAAGCAAATAACACATACGCATGTATATGCATGCTAGACCTGTCTGTATCTCCCAGTTCCCTATGCTCCAAAACCCACCATTAGGACTGAGTACAGACGGAGCTCACTTCATAGAGTACTTGTCCCATACTCACAAGAGCCCTGGGTTAAATCCCCAACACCATACAACTGGGCTGCAGGGGCACACAACTGTTAATCCTAGCACTCTAGTAGTAGAGGCAAGAGATTAGAAGTTCAGTGTCATCCGCTGCAGACTACACAGTGACTTGGAGGACAGCCTGAATGGTTGAGGCCATGTCTCAAAAAATAATAAAAAAGTAAAGCCCACAAATAAGAACTGAAGCATCTATATACAATGCTGGACAAAATAGTGTCATCGCAGAAAGGTATTACGTTCACAAGAGTCAAATTTAACTTGGAAACTAACACCCCATTTTTCACAAGTAATACCCCAGCTCCACCCCCCGCCAGGAATTCTGCTTCTTGAAGCTTTAGAAATGTATTAGAACTCAAGGAAACTCATTAAAAGAAGAGCATTTCATTAGGGAACTTCCATTTGTTTAATTTCAAACTACAGTAATACTTCTTAACGAGGTATTCAAGGTACTAAATTTATTTTTGATTGCATTTATTTTAAATTCTTAATCATCCTTAATTAAGAGCCAGTAGCATTCAATTTTTGAGGATTAGTTACTGACAAAGAGCTACAGATTATTTTTCAACATAAAAATAATTCAAACATCCAAATTCAAGAATTGGAAAGTCACTGTATCAAAATAGATCTGTGATATAAAACACAAAACCATACTGTCATGGATCTAAAGTCAAAAGATAGCAAGTACTTATAAGAAAAAGTCAGTAGGAAAATTTTCATTATTTATAGATTAAATATTACTATTGATGGATGATAGATTCAAATGATTAAATGTTTTGAGTCCAATAGTTGAATTCATTTCAGACCCAAACTGTATCACCAAAAAAAAATCACAAAATATTAAAGCCTTGATCTTAAAATTAAAACAAAATAACATGAGGCCAAATACCACTACTTTGACCGATACATTCAAATAGAAAAATATTTAACTACATGTTTAAAATTGTTGCAATTTCAATACTTGCCATCTTAAATTAAGCCTCCGAGCAAGACGCATTCAGTAAGTAACAACTAGGAAACTTCAAATGACTTTATGAATAATTTATGGTTGCTGTAGTAAGAAACCTATAATAAGATTGATTTTGAGAGTGACCAACTAGAGCCAGTACGCATAATCATATACTATTATCCCAAATCCCAGTGCACAGCCAAACATCTACCAACTCACTACCTTTCAAAACCCAGATGGGGACCCATTCAGTAATCAACTGGGTCTCCATGAAAATCACACAAGACTCCTCCTTGCTCCTGAGTAGTTAATTGTAAATTTAATATGTCACTATCTTCCTTCTTTCCATCCAACCTTTTTCTTCCCATTATATAACTTTTCACGAATAGACTGGCTTTAAAAAATAGCATGTGGCTGGAAAAATAAACGCTAATGATCACTTACCATGGTGATGCTTATCCCCAAAGTTGCCTTTTTCTCTGGGTTAACATATCAATTCTATTTCATTAAGAGGCATTACTGAACCAGACAATTTTAATTACATGCCCACGTGTAAAGAACATTGCGTCAGTTTCAAAACAGTTTTAATAATACATATTTTTCCTTGTAAAAATCATGTACTTGCCTTGTGTCTGCATTTAAGCACAACTCCATAGGCTCCTATAATTAAAGAGAAGAAAGCAATCAGAGACATGCAAACTATAGTTCTATATTTATATTGCTTATGAGCATATGTTAGAAAAACAACACCTATGACAATATTCTAGAGTGACAAAATCATGAGACATACAAATAGAGTATGGATCTGTTAGTTATGTATTTTTATAAACCAAGAGTATAGACAAGTCATTGCTTTCAATAAGTATCTTGAAATGCTTCTTTTTTAAAAAAAATCTTCACAAACCTTGTCTCAAAAAAATAAATATTCACTACACACATTTGTTATTTTAGGCAAGAAGGGGCCAAATAAATAAATAAAATAAACAAATAGATCATAGGACTGTGAGGCTGTGTGAACTGGGCATAGTGGTGCACATTGTAGGCACAGAACTTGGAAGTCTGAGGCAAGATGGCTGCCATCAGCCTGAGGCTATCATGGACTATACAGCCAAGACAGTCAGGGATACACAACAAGTCAACATCTCAAATAAAAATCAACTCAGTAGGTTCTAGGGAACTTAAAACTAAAGGTAAGGTCAAACGCAGAGCTTACCCATATAAATTTTGTCCTAGGAATCATGTAATACATCTTCTGGAATACTGTAATATATTTCCTAACGGGCAGAATATTATATGTTGGGGCTAGGGGTGAGGTTCAGTGGTAGAGTGCTTGCCTTCCATGCATGAGGTCCTGGGTCCTATGTTCAGTATCACACATACACACATGCCCCACAAAATGACCAGAGTCAGTAATCCCATTAAATAGTAAGAGTTTCTACCCTTCTAAGTCAGCTTAGGAACATAGGCCCCGAGAACTCCCACTTTCTTTGGTTTACTCTGACATGATCTCTTCCTAGCTCCTGAGTTAGCCATCCTATTATGTAGGCAGTAAACTCACCTGACTAGAGGCAGAACAAAGAAGCAGTATCTTGGCAGGAAAGTACCCAGAAAACTAAGGTTAAAGCTACAATATGAAAAATCTAATTAAAAGAATCAAGACAGTGCGGGGAGAAGGGGGGGGTGCTGCACACCTTTAATCCTAGCACTCAGGAGGCAGAGATAGGCAGATCTCTGTGAGTTCAAAGCCAGCTTGGTCTACAGAGTGAGTTCTAGGATAGTCAGAGCTACAGACAGAGAAACCCTGCCTCAAAACAAACAAACAAACAAAAAGAATCAAGACATAACATATATGATGGAGCTCTGAAGAACCATGACAAACATGTTTGTTATCAAACAGGTAATTGCTGAATGCAACTACGAGAAGGGGTGGATTTGAGTGATATGAAACCGGGAAATATGTCTCTAAGAGTCCAGCACACCTTAACGTGGCTCCTTTATTTTGCTGAAGAGGCATGAATCTTAGAATCATAGTTAAGATGGAAGCAGCAATTAGAACCATCCAAAGGAACTCCACAGTTAGCAGGAAATAGGCACTCCACAGAAACTTTTCTATAAGGTGAAAATACATCATCTAGGCCACAGGAATGTGAATGCCAGACAGATGCACTTCCTACCCCAAGCCCAACTGAGTGAGTTTACTAAGAAAAAGTGGAGCAACAATGTCTGGCTTAAACAAATAGCCTTGCAATTTTGGCTAATCTGAACCAATACCTAAGAAGATTATCATTAACTGACACTTAGAAAGAGAAGGTTATAATAGGCAGTCAGACCCAAACTCTGGAACATTCACCTTGCTATACTCTACACGCCCTTCTCCCTTTATTGCATACATCTTTAGCTGCGATAGCTTTGAAAAATAAAATTTGGACAAGCAGTGTTGAAAACTTATTTTCTACATTCATTTACGTATACGGGAGTGCACACATGCCACGGTGCATGTGGAAGGAGAGGACAGCTCCTTTGACCTGTGGTTCTGGGACAGAACTCAGGTTCTCAGCATTGGCGGCAAGCATCTTTGCTGGCCTGAAAAGGCAAATTTTATAAAACAGGTCAACAATTAAGAGTGAATTTTCCTACACAGTATCAATGAAGAGAAGAAGAGGAGGTGGCTAGTGAAGGAAGAAGAACCAAATGGTGTGGTCTGAACTTTAGGCCTTGAATCAAGCACCTAATTAACAATCAGACTCTCATAGCTTCTCTTTATTTGTGAAGGATTTGGCAACATAATATTAAAATCTTGAAGAGCTCTGTAAAATTTTTAAATTTTTGAAATTCAAATTTTATTTTAAAAACCTAAAATACAAAATTTTGTAATATTTGCTTTTTATAAATGCTAAGAAACCACATTTTCACTGATAATGTATTAAAATAATTTTTATAAATTTCTGCAAATTTATTTCTAAGAGTCAAGGTGGCTAAGCAAGAAAAATAGGGTAATTATCTTTTTCTAGAATTCTATTTTTGAAAAACTAATTATACTTTATCAAATCAATAGTGTCTTTGATCATAAACGCATCATGCTATGCACTACAATAAAGAAAAATTTATAGCATTAAACCTTAACATTCATGCTGATTTAAGATGTTATAAAATACAACCAAACTGTGCACCTGAAAGCTTGCAAACATGGTCTGTTATTCTCAAATAAAGGGAAGTTATTTCTCTGTTTACCATATAGTGAATTAAAGTTAGCATATACAAATAAAATTTGTTACTTCATATAAGCTTAAATGATATACAATGTAAAAATAACAAAAATACATAGACTAAGGAAACAATACTAGTGAAAAGAATAAAATCAGGGCAGTTTTAAAATATCCCTGATTGCCAGGGATGATGGCTCATGCCTTTAATCCCAACACTCCAGAGACAGAGGCAGAACTCCGAGTTCATGACCAGCCTAGACTAAAGAGCAAGTTCCAGGACATCAAAAGCTACACAGAGAGACTTGGTCTCAAAAAAATCTATTAAACTTTAATGTTTTTTTAATGTTATTGGTTTTCACTTGGAATAAGAAGAGCAGTTTTATTTTTACTACTGTACACTTAGGTGCACATCTGAATTGATATGATAAATTAAGAGGATCTGAATGAAGTTTTTGGTGATGAATGAAATGATAAAATGTTCCAAAGTTCAAAGGTGAAATTCTAACTTACCTTCACCTACAACCCCAAGGATCTCAAATTTATTCATCACATTACCAATGTTAGGAATCTTCATGAAGACAAACTCCTTTTTTGATGTACGCCACAGAACATGGCACCAAAAAAATCGAACTTTTGAAAAAAATTATTCAGTAAGCAGAAAAACAAAGGTCCGAACGAAGAAGGCTTGACAAGGAACTTTCATACATTTATTCAATGGTGAAGTATTAAACGTGTCCCTGAAAGAACAAACACAATGAAACACTGTTAGCATTATGTTACAATACTCAACTTATTATAGCATTGTAAAACGTTTTCTAAACCATGTTAATGTTTCTTTCATATGCTGTAAAAAAATTAGGGAGAAAGAACCTCAAATGAAATGAACCTCCTATAACTTAAAATTAATACCATGACCACAATTAAGGAGGACCAGTTAAGTTTTGAACATGGTACTTTACCTAATATCCTCAATCTAATAAAAACAACGTTGTACTCAACCACTCAGACTGTAGATGTTTTCTTTAACGGTGATAGGATAATTTTTTAAAGCCAGAGTCTCACTATGTAGCCCTGGCTGTAATTCAAGACATATGTGTGCCTCTGACAGCCGTGTCCTGGAGTGCTGAGACTAAAGTTGTGTGCCATCACACCTAGACGACAAGAAACTTCTCATCTATATTCTAGAACTGAACAGGTAAGTATATAGTGACTAATGAGACATCTGTTTCTGTTTTGAATTATTTTTATTCTTTGGGAATTTCATATATCACACACACACATACATAGACACACAGACACACACATACACCTTGCTTCCCTCAACCCGAACCTCGAACTCCTCCTAGACACCTACCACCACTTCCCCTTCCTAACTTCGTACCTTTTTTTTTTTTTGTAAAACATACAGAGTCCAGTTAGTGTAGCCAGGATGTGCATGGGTATAGGGCGCCATCCACTGGAGCATGGACAACCTACCCTGGGCCACATCCCTGAAGAACACTGACAGTGTCTGTTAACTGTCAATAGTCTCTCTGCTCAAGGTAGGGCCTTATGAGGCCTACCTTCCCCGTGCTGAACTGAGACTTTCGTTTCTTACCCTCACAAAAGAGAAATACAAATGAGAACAGGCAAGAAAATGACATAAATGTTTATGTCCTTGCCTACATATATGCCCTACCTCTGTGCCATGGGGGCACCTCCAGGTAGTAGCACGGCAACAGCTCTGAGCACAGTGCATATTCTAGGGAAAGGACTTCAGGTTCTTTGAAGAAGTGACTAACAAGACTAAAGCAGAAAAAGTGCAGAGCCAGGACGTAAGGAAGAGCTCAAAGAACAACTGGGGCATATCAAGTGGACTCAGGAGCCAAGCTAAACTGACTCATACTGGCCATATGGGTAATATCTCAAAAGTAAAAAATAATGAAGATATTAATAAATTATAATCTGCAGACTAAAAGTAAAATGTGATTATAAATAAATGCAGGCAAAGCTTTTTTATGAAGCTTTCTAACAAATAATAAAGTTAGTGATGGAATTACAAAATCTGCATTTGGCAATAGCTCTGCTAATAATGACTTTGGGCAAGTGTCATCAATATGTGCTAAAACTTACAGGTGAAAGTTACAGGAAAAGCGATATATCTTATCTCAAAGGATCCACCGATAAAGCACCTATTACTTGCAAAAAGACAAGGTGTAATTTTAATAGTGAAGAATCCTGCCAGACACAACCATAGATAAGCAATCAAAGTATATGGTCAATAATGGAAGAAATCAACATTATGTCTCCTGAGAGAACACATCATATCGTAACTTCTGTGGCAATTCTACCAGAAATGTAAAGCCAAAATCGAGCCAGACGGGGTGGTATATGACTGTCATTTCAGCACTTGGAATGCTGAGGCAGGAGGATCAGCAGTCCATACCTAGCCTCAGTCAAATTGTGAGTTCAAGGTCAAAACAAAACAGACAAAATTGGCATGCTTACACATTAGCCAGTACTGAGTGTGACAATACTGACGTTCTAGAAAACAATGCTCTAGTTTTTTATAGTTCTTTTATTTAAAAAAATAACTTTGCCCTGTTTCTTTTACAAATAATAACTAAGTTTAAAAATGTTATAAAAGTAAGAAAAATCTAAACTAAGAAATTTTTTGTTGTCTGTAAAATCTCAAACTTAAAAAATGTAAGAGTACCCTATGTACTATGCAGACAGGAAGTATTCTCTCAGACATGATGGTGGGAATGCAACTAGGACAAGACTTCCACAGAATTAGCATGTTCATAATGAAATGATTTTTAAATGTCCTTATCCTAATAAAAATGTGTGACCACACAGAACCTGCAACAGCTAGGCATAGTGAAATGCCCCTTTAATCCCAACACTCAGAAGGCAGAGGCAGAAGGGTTTCTGTGTGTTCAAGGCCAGTCAGGTCTACACAGTCAGATGTTATCACAAAAAGAAAGAAAGAAAGAAAAAAACCTGCAACAAATCATCTTAAATGTAAATTATCAGGCAGTTTCTGTTTTGTTTTAATTAAATCCATTGTGGCTGGAGAGATTGCTCAGTGGTTCAGAGAACTTTGTTCTTACAAAGGATCCAAGCTTGGTTCGCAGCACCTACATAGGCTGCCCACAAGTGCTTATAACTCCAGTTCCGAGGGATCCACCACCCTCTTCTGGTCTTCTGGGGTACTGTACTCATGTTCACAATTAAAACTAAAATTTTTAAAAATAAATATTAAGCTGGGCAGAGGTGGTGCATGCCTTTAATCCCAGCACTCTGGACACAGATGCAGGCAGATCTCTGTGTTTGAGGCCATCCTGGTCTACAGAGCTAGTTCCAGGACAACTAGAGCTGTTATACTGAGAAATCCTGTCTTGAAAAACCAAAATAGATAGATAGATAGATAGATAGATAGATAGATAGATAGATAGATAGACAGACAGACAGACAGATAGATACAAAATAAATATTAAAAATATAACATTGAACTCTACCTATTCATACTTATTTTCTAAACATTATTAAAACAATGTGTTAGGTTCTAGGCTTTTCAGCAAAGTATGGGGTACATGTACACACATAAATTTATAAAATGTAGAGGATTCAAAAGAGAGAACTATAGATATTATCCATAAATATAAAAGAAATCAGAAATGGTGATGCACACCTATGACCCCAGCATTCAGAAATAAGGTAGTCACAGGAGGCAAGCCTGGACGACAAAATGACACCCTATGATAACAAACAAATAAGAGGGGCTGAGGACAGCTCAGATAGTAAAAAGAACTTTTGAATTTTGCAACTTGAGGTCAACTCCTGGGATTTCATGATGAGAGGAAAGAACCAACTACCAAGGGATGTCCTCTCCACACACATATACATACACAGAAATGATAAATAAAAAGTAAGATATGAAAAAGAGAGATAGGGAAATGGAAAGGGAAAGGAGGGAGGGAGGGGAGGGGAAAGGAAGGGAAAGGAAGGGGAAAGTTAGTTTACATTGCCCCCACATACATTCTCACCATCATGTCTAAGAAGGCGAGTACTGTCTTCTTACCTACCCTACATGGGACCCTTACTTTTCACAAGTTTCAGATCTCACAGGCAGCAAAGGCAATTTCTTTGTTTATATTCATTTCTTCCTTCTAAAACAGTTATTGTTTGCAGAAGTAGGATAGGAAGGAAGGGGAAGGGGGGGAAGGAAGGAAGGGGAAGGGGGGAAGGAAGGAAGGAAGGGGAAGGGGGGAAGGAAGGAAGGAAGGAAGGAAGGGGGAAGGAAGGAAGGAAGGAAGGAAGGAAGGAAGGAAGGAAGGAAGGAAGGAAGGAAGGAAGGAAGGAAAAAAACATGACAGGATAGTAACTGGCAAACTGTTAGAAGTTCAGAAGCTAACAAGGGAGCGGAACATAGACTTCATACATAAATATCAATTATAGTTGTAAACATCTAAGTAAATCACATTTACAAGAACAGAAAGAAAAATTTAGGATTTCACATGACAAAAGATATTTAAGATCTCTAATGCAAATGCATAAAACCTTTTTCAAAGGCATTAAAGAAAACCTAAATAAATAAAAATTATTCAAATTTTAAGACTAACATGGTTCAATGCTACAAAAATGACAACTCATCTCATGTTAATCCATATAGTCAGTGCAATTCTCATCAAAGCAAGCTGATTTCAAAGTCTACATAGAAGAGCAGAGTTACAAGAAGAAGCAACTACCCCTTTTTATAAGGAGAAGAGGAGAAAAGAATGAAAGTCAGGCCTAGGCAGGAGGGCATGACTGAATACTCTGCAGAATATACGGAGCGTTCTAACAGGGCTATGGAAACTAAGAAGGTGCTCCTGGCACCAGACTGGCAAGGTAAGGCAGTGCAACAGAGGCAAACACAAAGAAAAAGCAGTATCAACAATAAGACAATATCCCTACAATTTCGCCCAACCCTGATAGGACTCAGAGTAACATTTTATAGTTAAGTCAGATCACGTTTCTTCTCACTAAAATCTTTAGAATGACTTCGCACACCATTAAAAGGAAAGGCGAAGTCCACCTACAGGCACACACCTTGCTCTCCTGTCTTCGGAAACATCCACTAGCTCCCAAGTTGGCTTGCTTGGCTCCAATCACACTGACCCCTTTCACTACACTTTCTTCAGAAAACTAAAGCATGTCTCCTCCATCTAAGCACAGCCCTATAAGTGAGTGGTTCTCAACCCTCCTAAGGCTGCAGCCCTTTAACACAGTTCTTCATGTTGTGGTGATCCCCAACCATATAATTATGTTCACTGCTACTGCAATGTTGCTACTGTTATCAATTGCAATGTATTTTTGTAGACAGAGTTTTGCCAAAGGGGCTGCAACCTACAGGCTGAGAACCACTGCTTTAAGGGTTTTGCAATAATAGTCAGTTTAAAAAAATGTTACAATCATTTGTTGCTGTTGTTTTTGAGATGGGGGTCACAAAATCTATAGCCTAGGCTGGACTCAAACTCACGGCAATCCTCCTTCCTCAGTCTCTCAAGTGCTGGGATTACAGGTATGTGTTGGGATATCTGTCTTACAGTGTTCCAGTTTGAAAAAACCCAAATCTTCTATTGATTCGTTTAACAATTCATTCCCAGACCGTCTCCCATGTTCCAGAGGATGGGACCCACAAGGGAGGGTGAAGGGAAAGAACTTGCTACACAGGCTTGACAACCTGCGCTCAGATCCCTTGAGCCCACGGTGA